ATAGAAACATTTGCGTTCCTGTTCAGTATTTTGCACCAGTATGAGCACAAATATGTACATAGGAGCATAAATATTAATGGATTTTACCTAAGAATGTTCATGCAAAACAAACACACAAATTATGTCCAAAAATACTGACTGTCAAGCATCAGTACAGTGTGCAAGAGGCCTTACAAAGCTTCTGTCGCCTTCAGCAATGATATTCAGACACAGAGCGCTGCCCAATTCCAATATTTGCAAATTGTTAAACCTACAGCATACAACTTAATATATTAATCCAAATATGATTAGTGTCCAAAGCAGTCTCCTCCAATCTGCACAGATATAAAAGGAATTGGTGCAGTCTTAATTAATACAATCTCTGATTGGACAAGATGGAAAGTGTGACTTTACCATCCCCGCCTCTCAACCTCATTCAGTCAGAGAATGGTTTGTATTCATTGAGAAAATGGCACCCATGTTTACCACAATAATTTTCAGCTTCTAGAGCAGTGGTCTCCCAACTGCGGCCCGGAAGCTGGTTGTGGCCCTTTGCTTGCATATATCTGGCCCTTGGGGCACTATTTCATCCCTGATACCAACAAACACGGCATAATTCCCTCCACTGACACCAATGAAGGGGCACAATTCCTTCCAATGACACCAATTATGGGGCACAATCCTCACAATGACACCAAGATTGGCACACAATTCCTCACAATGACACCAATTATAGGGCACAATTCCTCGCAGTGACACCAACATTAGCGCACAATTCCTCACAATGACATCAACAATCAGGCCCTATGACACCAATCATGGAGCACAATACCTCCTAATGACACCAATGGTGGGGTGCCATTCCTCCCACTGACACCAAAGAAGGGGCATGGTTTATTCCCACTGACATCGAGACCTTTTCTACTCCCAATGGCCACAGTCCAGCTCCCTTAAAATCTGAAGGACAGCAAGCTGGCCCTTTGTGCAGAAAGTATGGAGATCTCTGTTCTACAGGGATTCCACAGGTATGCATAGTATAAGCATAGTATATGCATAGATTTATTCAAACTGGACTAAAGTAACAATGTAAAAATACTGACACCTGGAATTCTTCTTTAGCTACAATGTATCATGTGTAGTTTACATTTTAAAACGCACTGAGAAGAAACAACTTTTTCTGCTAATCAGTGCTGACACAGCTGCAAATAAAAGTTCCGCTACACACAGTAGGTCATGGCATCTACTGTACATGCTTGTATGTATGTTCAACGGCAAAGGATTCTATGGAATACTAGTTATTATGTCCTGGGTCTTTAAAGGATAGATTCACCCATATTTACAGTGTAACATGTTCATTATCCTCCCCATCACCACCTGATCCTCCCCCTCTCCCTGTGACAGTGGGCGAGGGTTTTTCTCCCCGCACCCGCTGTCACAAAATGGAGCAGCTGTGAGTGCTGTTCATTCATTCACAGGAATGAAAGTAGGGGGCTATCTAAATGCTGCAAAAGGTCTGATACCCACGTTCTGGAGGAAAACAGAGGTGCCGAAGGAGGAAGACTGGGTAGATAGAGTGAACCAGATTACTAAGATGGAAAAACTCTAATATATGCAGGAAGACAAGATGGGGATATACTAAGTGAAATGGGCAAAATGGGAAAAATCTGGATTTAATGTGAAATATAGGAAGGTATAGAGTGGTTTGATGTGCTTGGATTTTCTTGCCTTGATAAGGAAAAATAGGGGAGAATGCAGAGTGGGTAGATGGGGGTGGGGAGGGAGGAGAGGGAAAATAGGGGGAGGTAGCTGGGATGGGCGGGGTAAAGGGAAAATGTTTTAGAAAAGTAATATAGAAATTATTTTTTATATTTAAAGTGAATATGTTGGAAAGTGTATTTATTTGAAAAATTAATAAAAATTTTAATAAAAGAAAAGACCCCAGCCCTTCTCACCAAACACGTGACCGAAGGACTAGCCAATCTAAAACTGTGCTGTCACGTGTGTAAGAATGCCACGCCCAGCTGAACTCTGCACAAAGATTTTCCAGCTAATGGACCACAATCTGTGTATCTGCAGCCTGGGAGCAATTGTTACTGGGTCAGGTTAATTACGCAATTAACCCTTCACACTGCCACCACCTCCTTTTTATACAGAGAACGAGGAAACTCGGCAATATCAGCAATAACACTATGATGATTGAATAATTGTCTGTATACCCACTGTCACCGCAGGCAGGTTATACAGAGGGTTAAACACACACAGTAGCGCTCTTCTGAGGCATGGGTTCTTAGTTTGCATTAAAGAGCTTTAGAAACAGTTCAACACTTTCAGAAAGTAAGATTTATTACTAAAAGGTCAAAAGGGTGCAATAAAAATATTTACAGAAAAAGATGTAGCCAAATATATATATATAAAAATATACAAAGAGCATTAGCACAGCAAAGAGATAACAGAAAGAAGTTTAGAGGGATAAAATACTTGCTGTCAGCCTTGGTTTAAGTAGATCAAGTTTGAGAGCCAAAAGGATGCCTTATCTCCCAAAGTTAGTTCCGATGTTAAAAGGGAGAATCTTCAACTTTTTCTCAACTCAGCTTAGCTCAGCTTTTTCTAGGAACTCAGCAGGGTGTCTCCTTAAAGCAGAAAACCAATTGCCTCATTTGGGGAGGGGTGTTGGGGCAGAAACCCAAGCTAGAACCAAAAACTCTCCCAGTTGAGTCATGGTTCATGTTATTATATGAATGATATATAATAAGATATTATATATCTTATTCTTGGTGCATTTAGCAGCCTGGCCACTAGTAGAGTAATATGCAGACACATCTGCTGAACGGTTAGATATGAAATATTACATACCTGCTTGGATGGTTAAGGAGATATAATTTTCTGCTCTCCTGTATATGCCAGCTAGGGGGTGTAATATATCAGGCAACTTGTATTAAAGTGAGCCATCCGAATATGTGCTCCATGTTTATGTAATTATGTCCTATTTGAAGATATAAAATTATATGGAAAAGTGAGTTTTTAAATGTAAGTCTGTTTTTACGACTACCTGGAATGTCTTCGAAGCGCAGTGAGGGCTTGGTTTATGGCTTTACGATCCCTTCTCCAGCAAGAGTCTCACAGACATAGGGGCACCAGCTAGTGTGGGATTTATAACCATGACGCCCTCCCAATGAGTTTGCTGCCTGTGATCTGCATCAAACAGACCACATGTCACTCAACAGAGAGGGAGGGGGGATGAGGAAAGCTGACTTGGGAGTAGAAATGATACAAGATGGAAGATCCTTTGCCCAAAATGGAAGTTCGCATCCATCTCTGTGAGCACGTTCGCTACATATTTTACTATAAATGTAAACAGTTCCACCTTCCTCTTGCACCATAGATGTTTCCCAAAAGATCTCAATGGATAGTAGTCTCCATATATTGCAAAAGGAACAATGTCCACAATAAAATTCCAAACCCAGATGTAATCCAACAGGGGGTGGAGGATTATATGCACGTATCTTCAAATCCCTCTTATGCCCATTATAGGAGCGCAGTTCATAGGAGAAAAAGGTTCCAATAATAATATGCAATATAGCAGTGGTCACTAAATGGCGGACCACGGTCTGGAACTGGACCGAGGGACAGTCCTCTCCGGACTGCAGCCATGACACTGCCACCACCTCCCTCGGGGCCGCCGGGCTTAAGATGACCGGGCTATACAGCGGGAGGTAAGTAGCAACTGCGGTCTGGACGGGGCTAGTACAGACCACGGCCGCCACTCACCTCCCGCTGTGCAGCTATGCCTAAATCAGGGACAACAGGAGGAGCTGGAAGTGATGGCTCCAGTGACAAGCAGGAAGTGCCACTTTCACAGGGACACCTCCTTGGCCAGCTGCTGCACTGAAGGGACAACAGTGGCCTTTCTTCTTCACCTGCCGGCAAACTGTGACAGGTCTGTAGTGGCGATGGATGGGGCTGTTTCTGCTGGATAGGCTATCTCTTTGCTGGACGGGCTGTCTCTTTGCTGGACAGGCTGTCTCTTTGCTGGGTGGGCTGTCTCTTTGCTGGATGGGCTGTCTCTTTGCTGGATGGGCTGTCTCTTTGCTGGTCTGGGCTGCCTCTTTGCTGGACTGGGCTGTCTCTTTGCTGGATGGCTGTCTCTTTGCTTGATGGGTTGTGTCTTTGCTGGATGGGCTGTCTCTTTGCTGGACGGGCTGTCTCTTTGCTGGACAGGCTGTCTCTTTGCTGGGTGGGCTGTCTCTTTGCTGGATGGGCTGTCTCTTTGCTGGATGGGCTGTCTCTTTGCTGGTCTGGGCTGCCTCTTTGCTGGACTGGGCTGTCTCTTTGCTGGATGGCTGTCTCTTTGCTTGATGGGTTGTGTCTTTGCTGGATGGGCTGTCTCTTTGCTGGGTGGGCTGTCTCTTTGCTGGACGGGCTGTCTCTTTGATAGACAGTGATGTCTCTTTGCAGGACTGGGCTGTCTCTTTGCCCAGTTGAGTCCAGCAAAGAGACAGCCCAGTCCAGGAAGGGACATCCCCATCCAGCAAAGAGACATCCCTGTCCAGCAAAGAGACATCCCGTCTTTGCTATATATTTGCTGTGTTGTTAGGGGTGCTGTGTTGTGTTAGGAGCACTGTGTTGTGTTAGGGGTGCTGTGTTGTTGTCAGGGCTCCCAGGTATGACCAGAGATGTGTGACTGACGCAGGGAAACGCAGACTTCAGATATGGGATAAACAATATAATTTATTAACACTAACAATACAAACATAAACGCAGTGCAATACTAAACATAATACAGTGCAAACAAACCAAACCAACCACCCACAGATAACAGTACATACAAGCAAGCGTCGTCAGGCAGGCCGGGTCAATATCAATTGGGCAGGTAGGTACAGGGGGAGCAAGCGGAGAATGGTCGGGGTCGGGGTCACAGGCCAGGTTCAGCAGGTAGCAAGCAGCGTAGTACAGAGGGTCAAGCAGAGGGATGGTCAGGGTCACAAGCCAGGGATCAGAACAGGTAGCAAGCAGCGTAGTACAGAGGGTCAGCAAAGGAACAGAAACAGGATGCAGGACAGATACAGGGCCCAGGACAAACACACACCAAGGCAGAGTCTGTGGGTCTGGCCATCCCTTAAATACCCCAGCATAATCAGTTCCAGGTGTTAGCTGGCTGCAAAGTTGAGTCTCTGATTGCTGGGAGCACCCGCTGGCCAGCCCTGGTACTGCAGATCAAAAGGCAAAAGGCAGGTGAGTCCCACCATTGCTGGCCAGTCCATTCCTGACAGTTGTGTTAAGGGGTGCTGTGTTGTGTTAGGAGATGCTGTGTTTTGTTAAGGGGCGATGTGATGTAAAGGAGGGCAGAGGGAAAAGAGGACTTTGTGGGACTTCTTTAAAGAGGGAACTGTGATGTAGAGGGGACTACAGTGTGAAAGGTACGCTAAAGATCATAATGTACCAGGGGACTGTGATGTGTTATATCGCTAATGAGGTTTGTCCACGCAGGGGCTATCAGAGGCACATAAATGACAAAAACATTGGTATAACACCGACAGTAACTCAATCTAAAGGCAGTTATCCACTGCCATGCCACACCAGAAAAAAACAGAAAAAGAAAAGGAAGGAGGAGGACAAAAGGAAAAAGATTACAAGACCAAGAGCAGGCGTCAGAGAACACCAATACCGAGCAACATCACAACCCCAGACTAGCTGGGGGGAGCGTGGGAAAGGCATATTGCAACCACGGCTCCCATATTTTCAAGAATTTCCGTTGGGAGTCATTACAGATACTTGACATCTGTTCATTGAGCATCATAGTGGGACAAACGGGGACAAGAGGGACAAACGGGCTCTTCCAGGCCTGAGCAATTGTTCTAGTGGCCGACAAAAACAGATAGGAAGCCAACTTCTGCTGGAGAGCCAAGAGGCCAGGTATGGGACAATGAAGCAAAGTATACTGAGTATCCCAGCATATGGAGAGATGGAACAAGGTGAAAAGGAGGCCAAACACACAAAAATGAAACAGTCTCGGGCATGACCACCAGATATGCAATACATCACCACGATGGCCACAACCCCAGAAGCATCGATCACTGCAGGCAGGGTTTGCCTGGGCCAAACAAGCCAGAAACCAAAACCAATGAAACAATACCTTGTATGCCGCCTCCAGCATGGTCGTATTAAATTAACATTTAGCTATAAGCGACCAGGCCCTATTCCAGTCCTCCAGATCCACGACTGCCACCAGGTCGTGCTCCCATTGAGCGACATATGAGAGAGAAGTATACGTTGAGCGTCTGTTCAAAGCTACATAAAGAAGGGAAATAAGACCCGGAACGCCCCGGACGCTGTTGGCAAAGCAGTTCAAAGGCAGATTTCTGGTATGGGAAAGCAGAAGTGCCCCCCAGTGAGGTCAGCCAATGCTGCAATTGAAGGTAACGAAAAAATTCCGCCGGAGGGACATCCCGTGACTCCCGATAAATGCACTATTTTACCTGCAGAAAATGCATATTTTTTTTAAGTGAACTTATCCTTTAACACCAAATCTGAGTGAGTTTCTATGACTGATAGAACTGAAATGAAATTATTATTATTATATTATTATACAGTATTTATAAAACGCCAATAGTTCGCTCGGCTTTGTACATTAAAAGGGGGACAGAACATGTGACAGAACAATACCAATACAATGCAAAACATGAGGGGATTGAGGGCCCTGCTCTTTCGAGCTTACAATCTAGGAGGGAGGGGACAGTGGCACAGGAGGAGATAGCTGTGGGGGATGAAGTGGTAGGAAGAGTGGAGGAGGTCGGCAAGTTAGCAGGGGGTGGGGTAGGCTTCCCTGAATAGATGGGTTTTCAGGGTACGCCTAAAGGAGAGGAGAGTAGGTGACAATCTGATGGGTTGGGGCAGGGAGTTCCAGAGGATGGGTGACACCCTGGAGAAGTCCTGGAGGCGGGCATGGGAGGAGGAGACCAGGGAACTAGAGAGAAGGAGGTCTTGTGAGGAGCAGAGTGTGCGTGCTGGGCAGTACTTGGATATTAGGTCAGTGATGTAGTTCGGGGCAGTATGGTGGACAGCTTTGTACGTCAGTGTTAGGATTTTGAATTTGATCCGTTGCGCAATCGGAAGCCAGTGGAGGGATTGGCAGAGGGGGTGGCAGAAACGGAGCGGTTGGAAAGGTGAATGAGTATGGCAGCCATATTCAGGATCGACTGAAGCGGGGATAGCCAGCGGCGAGGCAGGCCAGTGAGGAGGGAGTTGCAGTAGTCGAGTCGTGATATGATGAGGGAGTGGATGAGCTGTTTAGTGTTTTCTGGGGTTAGGAACGTGCAGATTTTGGCGATCTTGCGGAGGTGGAGGCTGCATGAGTTAGTTAAAGATTGGACTTGGGGCTGAAAGGGGTGGACCGAGGACAATCAGGCAGGAAAGGACATCCTCCAGCCAGGAAATGAGGCATGGTCTGCATGACATGGTGTACAGTGAACTTGGAGTAAGCAATTTGTGTACAGCTATGAAAGACTAAAGGTGAGGTTGGAGTTCAGCTTTAACTAGTTTACATTTTTGGATTAAAAAGAGGGGAGAGTCTAGCTAGAAAAAACATATCAAGATGTGTAATTTCTGTTCATACGTTTTCTGGTAATCATTTTTAAGCTATTGTTGATTGACAATGTTGATAAGGTTTTCACCAGTATCTGTGTATATGTGAAGAACCATACAGAAAGTGAGGTGAAATCCAAGACATTGCTAGGAATGTGAGTGACCTGAAGCTTCCTTGGGCAACCAGAGGTTAGGAATGCAAGTAGCATGCCATGCCGATTAGTGGGTGCAGCCAAATTGTGCTAACTGTGAGACGGGTTTAAATTGGCATGGTTAACTAGTTTCAGACTTTGGGCGTGCTAGACAGGCCACAAAAAAGGTAATTGTTGTACACAGGACGTGTGTAGCATGTCCAGGCCTTCTGTCCTGCTTCCCCCTGCCAATACTCAGCAATTCATCTCTGATTAATCAATTCCAGAAGTGAAATCCCATTTTTGTCAATGAGAGCTGTCTTAATTAGCACTAATGAAGTCACTCCAACATTAGAAAAGGTTCCTCTACTACTTCAAGGCAACCTCTGCGCATAGACTTTAATGGAAGTCACCTTCAAGTTGGATCCTCATCTATATTGATGTGATTTGGATCCGACATTACAGAAAGATTACCTGTAGCTGACATTCTCATTGGTCACAGGCAAAGACGCATGGCATGAAACTCACTTCAAAGTCACAACAAGTTGCATCAAAGTAATACTCAAGTCTCATCAATTTACCAGCAAATTTTTAGGAAGTCGCTTGGCAAAATTGTACCATAAGTGGCGTGACTTTCAGGTCACAGTAGAGTGAACCGAGACTTGGCAGCCTGACAAATAAATAACAGTTGCTCAGGCGCTATAGAAAGATACAATGTAATATATTGTTACACTTGTATCATTCTGTTTAACTTTTGATCTGTAGATGATGTCAGTTAAAGCAACCTGACAAGTAGGAAAAAAAAGTTTTATTTTTTTTAATAAAATATTCTCTGTTTAACCCCTTATTAACTCTTAATGTACTTTAATTAGCCCTAATTCACTCCTTATTCTCCTTATCCAGTCATATATTATTTTTCTGCTGATTTTTTTTTTTCTGTTCATTTCTATTTTATTAACCAATAATATTTCAACTTTTTTTTGTTTGTATTTGTTTTGTTCGTTAACATTTTTACACTTTTCCCATTTTAAAAAGCACAATATTGAAAAAAAAAAAAAAACACTTTATTTCATTTGTAAATAACTATACAATGCTTTATACCAGAATCATAATTTCAGTGTCATTTTTAAACAGGACAAATTGCAGAATAAAGTGTTCACATTTTATCTGCATGAACACTATTTATTTTTCAACTAAACTGGTCAAAATTAGAAAGACTGCATTTTGTATAGTCTAGTTATGTTTAATTGTTTCAACCACTTGCCCTCCAGAAGATTTACACCCCTTCATGACCAGGTCATTTTTTTGCTGTTTGGCACTGTGCTATTTCAACTGGTAATTGCATGGTCGTGAAATGCTGTACCTAAACTAAATTTATGGCCTTTTTTCACACAAATGGAGCTTTCTTTTAGTGGTATTTGATCACCTCTGGGGTTTTTTACTATTTGTGCTATAAACAAAAAAAGACCGAAAATTTTGAAAAAAAAAAACAATATTTTTCACTTTTGATTATAAAAAAATCCAATAAACTCAAAGTTGGTCATAAATTTAGGCCAAAATTATTATTATACAGTATTTATAAAGCGCCAATAGTTCGCTCAGCGCTGTACATTACAAAGGGGGACAGAACATGTGACAGAACAGTACCAATACAATGCAAAACATGAGGGGATCGAGGGCCCTGCTCTTTCGAGCTTACAATCTAGGAGGGAGGGGATAGTGGTACAGGAGGAGATAGCTGTGGGGGATGGAGTGGTAGGAAGAGTGGAGGAGGTCGGCAGGATAGCAGGGGGTGGGGTAGGCTTCCCTGAAGAGATGGGTTTTCAGGGTGTGCCTAAAGGAGAGGAGAGTAGGTGATAATCTGATGGGTTGGGGCAGGGAGTTCCAGAGGATGGGTGACATCCTGGAGAAGTCCTGGAGGCGGGCATGCTACATGTCTTTGGTAAAAAAAAAAACTCAACACATGTATATTAACTGGTTTGTGTGAAAGTTATACTGTCTACAAACTATGGTATATATAATGGAATTTAGGTAGCTTTTACTTTCTGACTGCCTATCACATTTCAGGAGGTGCTAAAATGCTAGGCCAGTACAACACCCCCCCCCCCCCCCCCCCCCCAAAATTACCCGTTTTTAGAAAGTAGACACCCCAAGGATTTTGCAGAGAGGAATGTTGAGTTCATGGCACATTTTTTTTATTGCCACAAATTTTTAATTTAATGAAATTTTGCTCATGCATACGATGGATATATGTGGAATAACACCCCAAAACACATTCTTCTACTTCTCCCTTGTATGGGGATCCCACATGTGAGAGACTTTTTGGCATCCTAGCTACATACAAGCCCCCAAAATCCAATGACCACCTCCAGGCTTTCAAAGGGCATATTTCCTCATATCA